CTTTGCAATCGTGCGAACTGTGTATAGAGAGCGACAGCACTGATCTGTGAGTGATGATAATTTGTGCACCAATTCCTCTGACATCGTCTTATTAATCGTTAGCTTACTATGCAAACATGACAAGTGAAATCTCCCGCAGCTTAAACATGTGAGAGGTTGATCGCGCAGAGAATCGCTGAGCTTATGTGAGTGCGTGTGTAAAAGCAGCAGGATATATATTTGACTACGATGACCTGGATGACTGAGAACCTTCACAGACAGAGATATATTTTAGATCTGCTGAGCCAAATAAGACAGGTCAGGGTGAAGAAGTGACAGCCAAAGAAAAGCTTACCACAAAACGGAGAAGTTATGACAAATCAGACTATAAGGCAAAAAGAAAGTGCAGCTTTATGGTTTCATGGACAGAAGAATTTCTGTGTCTGCAATATGACGAGCTAAATAACCAGGGCTGCACATAAGTGGTCCGCAGGTGCGCATTCGCTGTCAAAATAAAAAACACGCACAAGATAAGAAGTTGCAACGCGTGTTTGCGTACATAAGATTTTCAGGAGGCGGACAGACATTTGTTTAGAACTCTTAAAGATGTCGAAGAAGCTCCTTTAAGCAATTACTGTGATGTTCCTCCACCTCCACAGAAATGTCAGAAGGAGTCTGAACCACAAGAGAAGCACGTATACTCGGAAAAGTGGTTGCAGGAGGTGAGCTGGCTTCAAACAAATGATGAACGCACAGAGATGTGGTGCAGAATGTGCCGTGAAAATGTAATAAATGACAAATTAAAAAGGCATGAACATTTTTTTGTATCGAAAAAACATCGAACCGTGAATTTTGTGTATCGTTGCACCCCTAAAATAAATAAATATAAAATAAAAAAAAAAAAAAAAAAAAAAAAAAAAAAAATATATATATATATATATATATATATATATATATATATATATATATATAAAATTAATTTTATTTTTTTGTTTTGTTTTTTTTGTTTTGTTTTTTTTGTTTTCACGGTTCAGTTTGATACTTTTGTGTCACGGTTTGATATTTTTTCGGTACAAAAAAAATGTTCATGCCTTTTTAATTTGTCATTTATTAAAATTATAAATATATATTTTAACTCAAAAGTAGTTTTCATATTTAATGTTGCTGAAACAACAAAGTAATAAAAAATAATCTATCTGATGGAGGAATCCCTCATCTTTGGAAAAGAGAGTTTATTACAGAGAAATGGCTCTTTCAAAATAAAAGCTCTACTATACTCTTCTTCTGGGCTATATTCTCAGCAGCATATTAAACATATCAGGTCCCCATAAGGAGAATCCTGTGCTAACGGCTGTCTAAATGACTCGGGTAAAGTTTGTAGCATGCTGCTTGTTGTTTTTGTCTTTGCACTAGGATGATGTCGGAGTAAATGTGCAGTCATATTCGTTGTGTTCCCACTAGTGCTGTCAGCGTTAATCTGAAATGACGTTAACGCCACAACACGGCAAATCTCCGTTAACGAGCTACCGCCGATCGCCCCGTGCGTGGGGCTGGACGGCCAACACGTTAACGAGCTAACTGCGCTAACACACTAGCTCCCACCCATGTAACTGAGCATTGCGTGGCACATCCAACACACTGTTTTACTTTTGTCCATAACGCGCTTACCTTCAGGGTCATACGTCACATGAAAACCAAAATAGTTCCAAACGCCAGATCTGAATGAGGCTCAATTTGCCATGTTGCAAGGAGACCTTAACTTCTGTCTCGCTAGCTTGCGCTGCGCTCAGTGGATCTGCGCTCGACAGTGCAGCCTAGGCGGAGTAGTCGAGCGCAGATCCACTGAGCGCTCAACACAGACAGCATCGTCAGAAGGAAAGTTGATAAAATAAATTACAAATGTTGTATTGTTCGATACATATGCGTACCGAACCGAAAGCACTGTATGAACGGTTCAATATCGATACGAGTATCGTTGCACCCCTAATAGATCTCATAATAATCTGACAATACTATAATATTGTCCATATTTACATCACCACAGTGAGATGACTTTAATCTCATGAACAACATCAGCTGATTGTTATTTACTAACTAATCTTAAATGAGTGTTCAGCTCAACAATCATGTTTACAGTCCCGTGGTCTCAGCCTCAGATACTCAACTAATCAAAGTGATGTCATGACAAAAATGAATGACCAACAAAACATTTTTCTCCTTCATTTCTGTCAAACAAAGCTGTATGTAACGTGCCTCGCGGTTTGTATCATGGTTGCTAGGCAACCTGAACAGCGCGACGAAGGCCAGACCGTCCCGTTTCACAAGCCTCGCACTTCCGCACTTCTCGTACTCATAGCACGCACCGTGCGTAGTACGCGTACTTCAAGCGTGCAGTCTCTTAATTGGCACGCAGCCATGGTCACTCCATTAAACCAAGATGGCCGAGACCAAAATGCTAAAATTGCAGACCAATGGGTGACAACAGGGAGGCGGCCTCCATCGTTTATATACAGGCTGTGAACTGGCTGTATGTGCAGGAAGTTTGAAAATGTCAGTGCGGGGTCGCACGTGTGCAGGACACACCACTCTTTGCTTTTACTCTGGCGTTTACACTCAGGAGTGGAAGTGGACTGTTGTGGAGAGAGCAGCGCTGCATGCGTCAGGTGTGTGGTTACAGCTCATCAGAGAGGCGAGCTGTGTGGGCAGATGGTTTCCTGTATATTTAAGTCTACTCCGTCAGTCTGTGTTGAATTGGCTTACTGTGGTCTCTAAGCCTGCTAACCCCCTGCACACCTGCCTCCTCACAGCTCAGGTGTTCCTGCTCGGGACGGCCAGTGTGCAATCCTCTGCAGGAAGATGCACCGTTTCCCGCCTGTACTGTGGTCTCTTCGATTAGCATGAAGAAACACTGCAGGTGGATTTGTTTTCACGCACTGCCGGGTGAGCGCACCTGCTCGCATCTCTCCACTCTCACGTTCATTCAGTCAGGACTGCACCAGATTTAAAGATTCTCCTGTGGTGGAGTTATGAATGAGTTTTATCCCTTCGCTGACCGAAGGGGCCGTTCAGCAAATTAATAAAATGAATCTTCTGTGGGGATTTCACGCCCCCTGGTGGAGAGGTGGAGCATGGACGAAGCCGTGACGATCATTTCCTTATAACCTGTTAAAGAAAGCACTCGGCTCATCCTTCGTTCAGCCACTCTGACAACAGCGACTCCCTCGGCTACGAGTTTGAGGTCATAACTCAGAATTTTGCCGTCAGTATGAAAGCGTCATCTCTGTGGTAATGTCACCATCGTTTTTCTCAGGGGCGGAGCTTAGAAAGGCCCAGCTGAGAAGTGCTTATCTGGATCCAGGTATGTGTAGAGGACTAACCTGGACATTTGATGCACTGTCAGTACAGATTCAATGTTTCAGATCTTTGAGTCTAAGCAGCGCTGCAGGTGACGCACCTTTGCACTCGCGCACACCTGCTGCAGGTCACTGCAGCTCGTACGTGTCAGATTTGCTTTAAACACAATGAGCAAGTTCAGGACACGGATAGTAAACCTCTCTCCCCTCTGCTCCTGCCCGGCCGGCTCTCAGGTGAGCTTGGGTTACCTGACTTTAACCGTTTATTCCTTTCTCCTCTTAAAGCACGCAGCAGCGCGTTAGCGGATTAGTGGACGCGAGGAGGCGGCTCACAGACGGGAAGCAGGAAGTTGCTCGTCTCATATTAATCCAGGTTTTCCCTGGACCATCGCCGCCGTGTGACGGTCTGGTGAGCGTCTCAGTATCTGTGAAAGCAACAGCAGGAGGAAAGACGACCTGCGGGTGTAGACCGTCAGCTGATGTTTGCAAACAAATATTAAAATCAAAATCAGAACCAAACTACTCTGAATGAACTGCTTTCTTTGTCATATCGACCACACGTCACCACCGGGACTTACATTGTGACGCACGTCAGAAAAAGGCACAAATAAAATAAGCATCTAAATAAGAAAATATCGATGAATAAAAAGAATAAACACAGATTGGTGATGACACTGTAGTGGTTGTAGTGCAGGGTTGCGGTGTCTACCTGTGACCGTGGAAGATCAGCTGTCAGATATTTGAGCGGTGTCCTGATGGGAGCGGCTGATACGCTGTGCTGCCCGCCCTCCATAGAGCTGTCCCCGCCCTGCAGCCTGCAGTCAGCTCCCGGGTCTGAGCACCATGATGTCAGGGCTCTGCTCTGTAAGCAGACGGGTCCGATGGTGGTGTCGTCTGCAAATGTAACGACGGTGTTGGAGCTCTGTGCACAGGGTGCTCAGCAGGGGCTGGGCACACCTCCCCGGGGGGCACCCTGGGAGTGAGAGCTGTGTTTGACATGCCGTCACCTCTAACAGATCAAGTTAAAGCGGAGCTGTTTCACAGTCATCGGCCTGCTGAGGGTTGGATTGTCCTCCGCACAGCGCGGCCTGCGGGCCTCCACCCGACTCAGACTACAGCATCCCCCCACAGCCAGCCTGGTCCTGTCACTTATATCTGCCAGCTCTTCACTTCATTCCTGTCCCAGAGTCCCATCAGTGCAACAGAACAAAAACTTGTAAATGCAAAATCCACATAGTCATAAATGATGGAGTACAGCGTGTTCAGTGTTCAGGTTAAACTGATCAGGCTGTCGGCTTCATCCTCAGCCTCACACTTGTTTTTGGAAGTTAAAGGGTGGCAGTCCCAGCTGACCGTCCCCTTGCTCTTATTCTGAAAGCTCAAACCCTGCTCAGCAGCTTCCTGTCCCCCAGACAGTGTAAACAGAGCTCTGATGACCCGATGCAGGTCATCGTCAGGTAATTTCAGGCTGTAAGAGTCCTGACTGAGTTCAGCTCCAGCTCGGGAACGAGTGCGACGGCTTCCCAGGTGCAGCGCAGGTGTGATCTGCTCTACCTGCAACCGCATCACCTCATTACCACGCTTTGTGTTCTCACAGAGATAAGGACACACTGAGGCTGCAGGTGAAAGGCTCGTATCCTCAAACTTGTTTCTGGGTTTACCTGACAGGTGTGAGGCTGAGTGAGCGAGCGAGCCCGTGAGAGAAGCACAGAGAGAGAGAGAGAGAGATCATGGATCACCAGAGACAGAGGAGTCTGTCCACATCAGGAGAATCGCTCTACGCCGTGCTCGGGGTCGACAAGAACGCCACCACAGAGGACATCAAGAAATGCTACAGGTGCGTGCGCACACACACACAAGTGCAGCAGTTGGCCACTAGAGGGAGCCAGGGTCAAAGGTTATAGAGCATGTTGAAAGGATTGTCTGTGACTCCCCCTCCTCACACACGGGTCAGCTTGCAGGAGCTTTTCCTGCCACAGCTTCACCTTCCAAAGCCAAACAGCAGAGAGCAGATTCATCTTTAATGTTTTTCCTGTTTCTAACACAGCTGTGGAGGCAAGTCAGAAAATGACACCCGATTCATCCCGACACACAACATCGTTTAAACTCATTTCCTCCTTTTTCCTGTTCAGTCTCTGTTTTATATATTTTCTGAAAATGCACGTTTTAATTCATTCTTCTGTTTAATTTGAGTAAATAATAACCACGGGTTTCTCACTTTTCTGTGTCAGTTTCAAAAGAAAAAAAAGAAAACAGAAATAAAAATGTGTGTCAATAATCAGGGAAGCTGCGGAGATACAGAAGCAAGTGAAAGGTGTCCCACTTTAAAGTGAATAAGCAGCTCAGACTTTCGCTCCTTTGATTCTTTCTTTTTTTGTTGTTTTTAGGAAGCTGGCGCTGAAGTTTCACCCAGACAAAAACCCGGACAACCCCGAAGCAGCAGACAAGTTTAAGGAAATCAATAACGCCCACTCCATCCTGGTGGACGCCACCAAGAAGAACATCTACGACAAATACGGCTCCCTGGGGCTGTACGTGGCCGAGCAGTTCGGAGAGGAGAACGTCAACACCTACTTTGTTCTGTCCAGCTGGTGGGCCAAGGTGGGTCGGCGTCCACGACCGCAGGTCTCGCAGCGCGTTTGATAAGCAGGCGTGAAGCTTTCAGGCGCTGCTCTTGTCTTTAATGTGCATCCGGGTACGTTCCCTTCCTCGCACACAGGTCAGCCTGTAGAGACCAACACAAAGGTTTTAGCCGTCGCACACAAACTCTTCGGAAACACGTGAACCGATGCAAATGTGACTGCAGCATCGTCCCTCACACGCTTCCAGGTGTGTGCCCGTGCTCACATCACCACCCGAGCGTCTGCAGGGTACC